AAAAAAAAAAAAAAATTAATTAAAAAGATGAAGAGAAGTTATTAACGTTTTGCTGACATTGTATCAATGCGTTCTCCAACTGGTAAAAAAGCTAGCTGCAATGTTGACGAAACGTTGAGAAACGATCCCTTCGATTTTCACCCACGAAAATCGAGAAACGAGCTCGAGTTTGCGAGTAGACGACAGATTGAAAACGTGAAACTCTGTGGAGAATAATTAATCATACATACATACATCGATAGATCGCGACGAGCTTATTCTTTAATGTTGCAGGTGGAAAGATGGCGGGAATGGCAGGTTATTTCAAAATCGGCAATGATTCGCGCTGACGTGTGTACGGCATAGCGACGTGACGCGGTTCGGCAAACTAAGAATTTCACAAATTAAGAATTGACCTGGTCTTATTGTAAATGCCTCGAACCGCAAACGCCGTGGCCGTTCCCCTAAAGAAATCCAACGATCCCCACTCTCTGTTCTCGATCTCGATTAATTAATTAATTTAGAGAATGGCAGCGGCCGCGATCGCCGAGCGTCCCGACGTGGCCGAGAAAAGGAAGAAAGAGAGGAAGGAGGGAATTTCGCCGGAGGAAAAACCGGACGTGTCGCCTGGGATCTTCGACGTAGATAAGATTACTCGAATGGAGGATGTCAGGTAATTTAGACGAAAGAACATCTCTGTTCTCTTCTTACAGATTGCCATTCTTCTCGTTCTTCGCCTTCGGTGGAGGTGGCAAACAGATTGACTATATTGAATATAAATTTAACAATATATAAAAATCTCTCCATTCAGAATGTTACGGATGTGAACTATAGCTTCTAGACCTATTCCCGGAATTGAAATTAATTATTCTCACACTTTTTTATATTAGTAAATAGCCTGACAGTTCGAGAGTTTGCGAGAGTGATCGTGTCGACGAAATTTCGTTTTGATGTGTTGCGCAGGAATCTTATGATAAAAGACTTGCAAGAGGAGATTCGATTGGAACAGCACAACGAGAAACGAAAAGCGGAAACGGAAGCGGAAGAAGAGGCGAACCGCCAAAGGCAGCTGAAACAAACACACGCTGTACTTTCTCGACATTGGACAACGTTCGCGGAGAACATGCTCCAGTTGGAACAAGAAGAAAACGTTGGTACTTGATTAAT